CACACACACACACACACACACACACACACACACACACACACACACATACATACAGGCTCATCTGTTTGGCATTAGCAGCCAGTCAATGACAACAGAATCACATGAGCTGGGCTCAGTGCACGTACACACAATCGCATACCATTCACATGATGTATGGATCTGTGTGAGTGTGCTTGCATATTTCTAACTTTGTGAGGGCCACTTTGAGTTTCAGACATTGGGAGTGGGAGCATTTTCAAAGGGAAGGATAGTTTTTGCAAAGTGCAGATTTTCTATTTCGAAACTTAAAACTTGTTCAGACCATTACTGACTTCTGAGTACAAACAACTAGAAGATTATTATATAAATAAAGTAGCTGTAGCTCATACCAATGAATTAGCAATAAATCCTGATGAGTTCAATTCATAGAATTCCAGCTGCTACTGCTGCTTGTATTATTTTTTTAGGAACATACTGAATAGATTATTGTTCTCCCCATATTTATTAGTCTCTTTTATAATTAAGAACCAAAAGAGAATTTAAAAAAGTTAAATAATTTAATAATCACATCATATTTGCTAGCTTGTTCATTTACTGTGTCCATGGAAGTCTTAAAGGTTTTCAGAACAAATCGCTTTTCTGACACCAACATCAACACACAAATCATAAATATACACCAGTAAGCCACTGGCAGGTGAAATGAACAATATGAGCATCTCATTACAATGCAGTGTTCATCCATCGAGTTTCTTTGGCTTATCTGGAGTCGGTCACGGTGGCAACAGGCTAAGCAGGGCATTCCAGACATCCTTCTTCCCTGCAATGTTTTCCAGCCTATTCTGAGGGATTCTGAGGTGTTCCCAGGCCAGATTAGATATGTCTATCCCAATAGCTAGTTCTGGGTCTAACCCAGGGTCTCCTCCCAGTTGGGTGGAAACCTCGATAGTGACATGTTCAATAGGCACGAATCAGATGTCCGAACCACCTCAGCTGGATCCTTTCAGCACAAAGGAGCAGTGACTCTACAAGCTCCCTTCAGATGTCTGAACTTCTCACCCTGTCTCTACGGCTGAACACATTTCTGCTTACACCTGCAATCTCATTCTTTTGGGCAATACCCAGAACTCATGACCACAGATGAGGGTTGAAACGTCTTCCGATTCAGCTTTACCGAGACAGTCTGGTACATCGCCAACACATTATTGCTGATGCTGCACCAGTCCGTCTGTCCATCACACACTCCATTTTATCGTCACTCATGAACAAGATTCTGAGATACTTAAACTCCTTCCCTTGGTGCAGCACCTCAGCCCCAACTGAGAAGGAGAAATCCACTGGAGAACACTGACTTGGAGGTGGGGACTCTGGCCCCAGAGTGCCCTAGCAGATGCTAAAGGTTACAGCTTGATGAAACCAACAGAAACATGCTCTCTGCAAACAGCAGAGACTGTGAAGTTCCTAAACTGGACACTATCCTCACTTCTGCTGCACCTTGACATCCTGTCCACGAAAATCACAAAAAGGATTGGAGACGAGGGGCAGCCTTGGTGGAGTCCATCACCCACCAGAATGCAATGTTGTTAGGAACTTTGGGCGATGACCTTCACATGGATATTACTTTGACAGGTACCAACTACCTAAACACTGTTGCAGACCAACGAAGCCCCCCTATGCCGATGACTCCCCTGGCAGGATAAAGCACCCTGATATAAACACTTTGCAGGAGCAGCTCAAAAAAGCCCAAGATGTTCACACAGTTCCCCAACTTCCAATTTGACCAGCAACAAAAGGAGGCACTGGAGCGACTTGAGTAGAATAGAATAGAATAGAATAGAATAGAATGGAATAGAATAGAATAGAATAGAATAATACCTTATTTACACACCACAGCAGCATTCAAATATACAGAAAGTACAAGAAAATAACAATAATTAAGTAATATAGAATAGAATAGAATAGAATAGAATAGAATAGAATACAACTTTATTGATCCCTTTGGTGCAAACCTCAGGGAAATTGTTGTACGAGAAAGACAACAACACAACACCAACATAACATTAGCAACAACAGTAACAACAACAATAGTAACAATAACAATAATAACACAGGATACAGTAACAAAATTTGCCAAAGTGCCTAAATATTGCACACAGTCCGGTGATAGAGCCTGATGCTCTATCTAACCCCAATGTCCTCACTCCTCACCCCTCGCTCCCTACCTCTTGCTGCTCCTCCCCCTCCCCCAGAGCTCAGAGTTGAACAGTTTGATGGCTCGGGGGACAAAGGAGTTTTTGGTCTTGTTGGTTTTGTGCCTGGGGAGGGGCAGCCTGTCGCTGAACTGGCTCCTCTGGGCGATGATGACAGTGTGAGAGGGTGGCTGGCATCGTCCCTAATGGCCAGCAGTTTGTTCAGTGTCCTCCTCTCTGCCACTGTCACCAGGTAGTCCAGTTTCATGCCCACTGCAGAGCTGGCCCGCCTGATTAATTTGTCCAGCCTCGATGCATCCCTTTTTGATGTGCTGCTGCCCCAGCACACCACGGCGTAGAAAAGGACGCTGGCCACTGTCGACTGGTAGAACATCCGCAGGAGTTTCCTGCAGATGTTGAACGACCAGAGCCTCCTCAGGAAGTACAGCCTGCTCTGTCCCCTCTTGTACAGGTAGTCTGTGTTGCATGTCCAGTCCAGCCACAGCCCAAGGTACTTGTAGTTTTGTACAAGTTCAACCTCATGTGCCTCAATCACAACTGGTCGTGGGCATTGTCCAGATTTCCTGAAGTCTATGACCAGTTCCTTTGTCTTTGAGGCGTTGAGCTGCAGGTGGTTTTCTTTGCACCAGACAACAAAGTCATCCACCAAACACCTGTACTCACTCTCTCTGTCATCCTTGGTACACCCCATGATGGCTGTGTCATCTGCATACTTCTGTATGTGGCACAGCTCCGAGTTGTAACAGAAGTCCGAGGTGTACAGGGTGAAGAGGAGAGAGGCCAGCACTGTCCCCTGAGGGGCCCCTGTACTGCTGACCACAGTGTCAGATGTGGTGTCTTTCAGTCTGACATACTGTGGTCTGTCAGTGAGGTAGTCGGAGATCCAGTCCACCAGGCACGAGTCCACTCCCGTCCTTTTTAACTTTCCCCGCAGTAGCGGGGGCTGGATGGTATTTAAGGCACTTGAGTCCATAAAAAGAATCCTCACAGTGCCGCTTCCCTTGTCCAGGTGTGAGTGGGCTCGATGGAGGAGGTACAGCACAGCATCCTCCATCCCAACATTTGCCCGGCAGGCAAATTGTAGAGGGTCCTGGCTGAGTTGAACCTGGGGCCTGAGGAGGTGGAGGAGGAGCCGCTCCAGCGTCTTCATCAGGTGTGAAGTGAGTGCCACCGGTCAGTAGTCATTCAGCTCGCTGGGTCGGGTCTTTTTCGGCACCGGAACGATTCAGGATGTCTTCCAGAGGGTGGGCACTGTCCCCAGCTGCAGGCTGAGGTAAGGGAAGGGGAGGGGCTGAGGGGCTGAGTTGACATTGAGAGGGAGGCACATTGAGGGAGGGGGGAGGGGGGACTTTCTGTGAGGGTGAGGGTGGGGGAGTAATGGGCTGCTCAAACCGGTTGAAGAAGGCATTCAGATTGTTTGTGTCCTCCACCATCCCCCTTGCTGTTCTGGCTTTTGTTCTGAAGCCTGTGATGGTATTCACACCCTGCCAGACCTCCCTCATGTTGTTGTCCCTCAGCTGCTGCACCACCTTCCTCCTGTAGGTGTCTTTGGCCTCTTTCAGGCACAGCTTCACCTCCCTCTGTGCTGCTCTGACTGCCTCCCTGTCTTTGTTCCTGAAGGCCACCTTTTTCCTGTTGAGTGCAGCTTTGACCTCCTGCATCACCCAGGGTTTGTTGTTCGGGTAACAACGAACAGTCTTAGCAGGAGAGGCTACATCCACACAGAAGTTCAGGTAGTCAGTCAGGCAGTGGGTCAGCCCCTCAATGTCCTCACCATGGGGGGGAAAACAGAACATCCCAAGAGGTGGTTTCCATGCAGTCCCTCAGGGCCTCCTCCACCTCAGGAGACCACCTCCTGACGGTGCGTGTTGTGGCTGGCTGTCTTTTTACCAGAGGGGTGTACTGAGGCTGTAGGAGGACTAGGTTGTGGTCTGACTTCCCAAGTGGGGGGAGGGGGGTGGCTCTGTATGCATCCCATACATTAGCATACAGGAGGTCGATTGTCCGGTTGTTTCTAGTGGGGCAGTTCACAAACTGGTGGAAAGTAGGCAAGGCAGAGTTCAGTGTGGCGTGATTAAAGTCCCCAGAGATGATGATGAGTGCCTCTGGATGTTGGGTCTGCAGCCTTGCTGTGACTGTGTGAATCTTCTCACAGGCAGCGGCTGCATCGGCACTCAGGGGGATGTAAACACACATCGCGATCACGTGACTGAACTCTTGTGGCAAGTAATATGGCCGCAGGCTAACGGCTAACAATTCTAAATCCCGACAACACAGAGCCACCTTGACAGAAACGTGACTTGGATTACACCAGCGGTTGTTAATGTACATGATGAGACCCCCACCTCTGCTTTTTCCACATGCTTTCGTATCTCTGTCCGCTCTCACTGTAGCGAAGCCCGGCAGGTCCACGTTAGCTGGGTTAGCCACGATTCCGAGAGGATGAACAAGCTGCACTCCAGGTAGATACGCTGGTTGATCAGCACCGACAGCTCGTCCATCTTGTTCTGCAAGGCGTTTACGTTTCCCATAATTACCGTCGGGATTGATGGTTTGAAATGCCTCCGGTCTGTTAGCCTAGCGCCAGCCTTGCTGCCCCGGTAACGTCTTCTCAGCTCAGCCGGGATGTCATGTCGTATTCCAGCCTGTGCCATCGGCTTAAGAGCCAGTAGCTCCTCTCGAGAAAAAGTGAGGATCCTGGCTCCTGCGGGTGCTTTAAAGTTACAAGTATAGTATGCATAATATAATATAATATGCATCCCGGTGTCCACACATAGCAGGTCTAAGGCCCCACCATCTCTGGTTGGGCAGTCTACATACTGGCTGAAATGTGGGGAGAGTGGTAGAGAGTGATGTATGATTAAAGTCTCCTGAGATGACGATCAGAGACTGAGTGTGTGATGTTTGCAGCTGGGACATTGAACTATGGATGAGTTCACAGGCCATGTAGAATCCATGTCGACCCCACCTGGAACCCCATAGGACTTGAAGGATCTGCTGCCAATGTCCCACTGCCGGACACCAGAGGGATGGATAGTTGAGAAAATGATTCTATGACACTGCTGTATTTTCTTTTAGAATAAGTTGGTTTGGGTTTGGTGCAGTTATAAGGCAGAGCTGTGGTGCAGGCTGTGATGCTCATGTGTACAGGAAGCTCTGTGTTTGGATGTGCATCCTCACTTCTTGCTTTGTTTTCGACTACATCAAGCTTGCTCGGGGCTGCGCTCTCCCACTGAGCAGTAAACATTTATGCTGTGCTGGCTCTGACTACACAAAACACAAATATGTATCCATGCCCTGGAAATTACAAATATCTAAATTCATACTTTTCCATTTTGGAACCATAAAACAAAAGACACGTTTGTCTGGTCCTTTAAATGCCTGTTTGGGCCTTTAGACTTGTTTTTAGGGTGAAATTGTAACCAGGTTTTAATTTAGAACATTCTGTCAGAGAATGTCCTCACAAAGACAGAAAGACATGGTGTGTGAGTACCATTGCCAGGCATGTCAGAGTGCAGCTGGGAGGTATGGAGGCTTTAACATCAGCCCAGTTTAACATCAGTCCCAGTATGTGACTGAAGGGGAATTCCAGTCGAATCTCCTCCTTCTCTGCTCTATTATCTCATCTCTCCACATTTTACTCCATTTATTCTTGTGTCTTTTTTTCCATGTGCTGCAAAAACGCCTCAACTAGAAAGAACATATAGGAAAATATTCTGTGAGCTGACTAGCTGCTTTCTTGAAAATTCAAACCTTAAAAAGATTTTCTAGAATTGTAGAGAAAGAGTAAGAAAAGCCCAGATTCAAGCTTAAGTAGCTTCATAAGAGCTCTCAATTGAACAAAATTCAGGTTAAAGTTGTTTGAAACTAGATTATTGAGTGTACCAGTCAAACAACTCAAACACTGAATCAAAACTAACACCTGGGCATTTGGGCAATCTATGGATTGACCAAGTTAGTAACGCACAAAAGAGGGGCTTGTGTGAAAGCAAAGTGGTGATAAGTTAAGTTGTAAATATGTAACTAGCGCTAATTAAAGAAACTGCTATATATCCACAGTTGTTGTTTGAGGCACATGCTCATTACACAAAGCAGCAATGAGAATGTGCAAATGAACCCTCTGCACCACAAAACCTGCTGGTGAGTCTGAGAGACATGTCGTCTTAAAAAAATGCCACAATGACATGATTTATCAGCCAGAAACTGTAAAAGCAGAAAGAATACCTTCAACTTTACAATGGTCCTTAAACCACTCATCCATAATGTGCTATTGGGTTGGGAAACTTAAACAAATCTAAGTTTAAAATGGTTTCATCAAAATCGCCTTATTTTACATTCCTTATTTTAATGATTTTGCCAAATAAACTGTTCATTTTATCCAGATTCTACAAAGAACAAAAAATTCTGCGGTCTTTGACACAAATAAACCATAAGTGACTCAGCTGCAACCGACAGTCGTATAACAAAAGTGAAAAAACTTTTCCACTGCACTGTTCAAAAACATGCTGAGGTTAATCGGTAATTCTAATTTTTGAGTTGGCCCTGTGATAGACTGGGGATCTGTCCATGATGTACCCTGCCTTTGCCCTACATCAGCTGTAATAGACTCCAGACCCCCACAATGTACTGTATATGAGGTGTGTCAGAAAAGTTCCAGGACTGGTGTCACAATAGATATATTTCAAACCCAAACTACAAACTAGGAGTTTTCCCTGTCAGATGATCAACCAGCATGTCTACAAAGAGATCCTGCGGCGTTTGCTTCGTTCAGTGCGCAAGAAGAGGCAAGAGTTGTGGCAGGACAAGTCGTGGCTGCTTCACCATGACAATGCGCCTGCTCACAATGCCCTGAGCATCCAACAGTTCCTGACTGAGAAGAACATCGCCATGCTGGAGCAACTTCCCTACTCACCCCACCTGGCTCCGTGGGATTTTTTTCCTCTTCCCCAAGCTCAAGGAGGTCATTAAGGGGACCTGTTTTGATGACGGAGCTGTGGAGGATCCTGGAAGAATCCTTCCAGGAGTGCATGGTGGCATGGCAGAGAAGGCTGGGAAAATGCGTTAGACTCCAGGGGGATTATTTTGAAGGGAAAACTTGAAGTTTGTAGTTCAGATTTGAAATATATCTTTTGTGACACCAGTCCTGGAACTTTACTGACATACCTCTTAAATAATGGATACCTGCATGAGACAAGTCCCCTTTTTTGTTTATGGTTTTATAACTTTGTTATATCGCACAGATAAAGCAGTAAAAACCACTGCTTGTAGTTCAAAGGCTTAAATTGTGGCATCATTATTCACCAAATTCTTTGTTGTACATGTTTTTAAAAATCTTCTTTTCAGAGGGCTTTTTTAAAAAACTGTTTAAATAACCTAGAATGCTGTTAAAGTGTGGCTGAGAAGCCAAAACGTAGAAACATAACAGTTATTTACTATCATTAAGGATCCTAACCCACTCCCTGACCTGGTTAACATGCAGCTCCTCATTCTGTCCCTGAAGCTCAGAGCCAGCGCGTCCCTCTTCACTATGAAAGACCAGTACAACGCCTCCTTCAAGATCTGAGTCCATTTTACACTTGTTCATGAACAAGACATGAAAAAATCCTTTGCATGCGCCAGCAGCTCCCTCTTAACCTGAACAGGGTAAGCCAGCATATTCTTGGCTTAGCACCAATGCATCAGTCTTGGAGTCTTTTATGATTCAGCAGCTGTAAACTTTCCCGGAGTCCAAACCACACACAACTCCATACACAAATGAAGGACATGCAGTATGCACCTATCAGACAAAAAGCTGGTCCTAAGCAATACAGTATGTTTGACAGTATCTGGTTTATGTAGAAGCCAAAGATATTTGACTTCCCCAGATGAAAATTCCATATGCAGTTAGCAAAATGTCTGTTACAGGTGACGAATATCAGTGTTTGTTTTCTGTCTGACTGAAAACAAAAAGTGAATATGAATATTCTCTGAAATAAACAGTTTTGTGTAACTCCTCTTTCAGAATACAACACCGTTTGTCCTTAAAGCTTTCATTTGGATAAGGAAACTTTCCCAAAAACCTCAGGAAGAGAACCCAAAGAGAGATCTCTCTTCCGGGGCAGACATATGAGAAATGGATACAACATCGTAGATTAACAATAGCTGACTTTCCTCTGCAGGAACTCAGGACAGGCATGAGGTGGCACAAGTGTTTACAGCCCCAAAACCACTTCTTTCAACTTTTCTTTTTCCAGAGTAGGATTCATCCATCCATCTTCCACTTATCCAGGGTTGGGTCGCAGGGGCAGCAGGTCATTCCAGACTCCCCCCGGCGACGCTTTCCAGCTCTTTCTGGGGGATCCTGAGGCGTTCCCAGGCCAGCTGAGAGATATGATCCCTCCAGTGGGTTCTGGGTCTGCCCCAGGTAGATGTGTTTGGAAGACCTCCAGGGGAAGCCTTTTCGGAGGCATCCGAATCAGATGTCCATACCCACTTCAACTGGCTCCTTTTGACGTGAAGAGCATGATCCAACAACTCAAACCGCAATGTTAACTCAGAGTGCACAAAAAACAACAACAAATCATAGTTAGTGGATATAACTCTGCTCCAGGGGCGTTATTTATGATCAGTGCATAGAAAAGGTTCTAAATTCTGTTGTACACATGAAATTTAGAGTGTGTGTAAGTACAAAAAAATCTCTATATCTAACGTGCATACGGGGGTCGTACGTACATCAGTGTTGATAAATCACATTTGTTTTTAACCTCTGTGGTCGTGCACGTTGCCTTCAGAAACGCCTTTGAATTACTATTTACGGCAACAACACACCTCTTTATAAAGCAAGTGAAGATTTATTTTTTCCTCACTTGTCGTCATCATCGTGGCAAAAAGGGCGAAAAAGACGAACTCTTCTGAAACTGAAATCAAGGTACTTCTCAGCGAGGTTGATGCAAACCAGAAAATATTGTTTGGTGCATGAAATGTTGGGATAAGCAGCGAAAGAAAAAAATGCTGCATGGGACAAGATAACCAGCGCAGTTATTTCTGTTGGGTCAGAGGAGAGATTGCTGGCAAAATTTTTAAAAATGGTTTGACAGTAAGCTCAATGCCAAAAATCGCATCACAGCCCATAAAAGAGAAATGACTGCAACTGGAGGAGAATGAATTAATACCAAACGTTCACCCAGTGGATAACCCTGCTCACCTACAGATGAGATGTTTTAATAATCACACTAAGTCCAGCAAAAACATTTCCACACGTTGTAACACTCACCAATAAGCCAGCCATCTTCAGCAGCTCCTGCTTGGAGACCCACAGAACTGTTCTGCTCAATGAATGAGTCATGCATTCCTCCAGGCCACCAGGCAATAACATTGGATGGCGACAAATGTGCATGGCAAATTATCTGTACGTTGTTTGAATTAAACCCTTTTCTATCTACAAAACTAAATTTGTGTAGTGTTGGTGCTTTGAATGCGATGTGGGTGCAGTCTATGGCTCCATTTATGTTTGGGAATCCAGTGATGGCGTTAAGTCCCCGTTCGATTTGGGCTCGCTAGTGACGGCTGTAAGGGAGCTGGATGTCGGCTGGGGCCAGGGAGTTATGACATTCAACGCTGCTGGCTTGATCCTGCTCAGTGGTGGCTGGGAAATGTCACATATTCTCCAACCTCACACTGGAATGTGCTGTTGATCAAAATCCCCTAATGCTTTCTATTTGTAGTTTCACTATTCTACCACTAGATTATGTGCGTACGTATGGTCAGAGTTGTGCATATATTTACGCACATTCCTAAATATAAGTACAAGTTGATAAATTCCATACTTTGCATAGAAATGTTCGTGTGCATGCTCTAGCATATATCTGTGCATACGCATAAATGATAAATGAGGCCCCAGGTCTTTGAACATGTTAGAAATAG